ACTATTGTTTTACAGCAATTAGACAATTTTTTTTCACGAGTATGAAAACGTTCTTCATGGAAAGCACAGGTCAACTTAAAGTCAGAAGCTCTGGTTCTTGGAATACTATGATGTTATAAAGAATACTCATAAAATAGTTTAATAATATTGTAATGGTTTGCTTTCATTATACACATTTAAACTGTTTTGGTTTTAGACTTGCAATATTAGTAATTTTCACATCTCTGTGAGAAATCTAATTGGTAAAATATTATTAAATTTCTGTTGTAATTTTCTTTCATAAAGTCCTCAGATTACCCACAGAAAACAATTAGTCAACTCTATGGCAGCTTTGCAATGTGAAAAAGTTGTGAAGGACTGAAGGTATGATCCTTCCCGTTATTTTCTATTCTGAGAGATGCCTCAGGAACAGGGACAAACCCAGGCCTGTAAAAACCAAGTGACTTGCTTGCTCTTGGGCAGTTAATTAGAGGTAGGGCTAAGGCTAGCACGTGGGCCTGCTGACTGCACACCATTTACTTTCACAGCCACTCTTCATGACAGGTGAAGATAAAAAGATTTTTCAAAAAGCCAAACTTGCCTGTATATATCCTGGCCTTGTATTTCCCATTCTAGATCAGAGTTCACTAGAGCAAGAAATTGAGGGAATGCCACAGATCTGACGCTTATGTTTTTATATACCAAAAGGTTTTTTCCCTCCCTCCTATCCCCCCGTCTTCCTTCCTCTTCCTCTCCCTTGGTCCATTCTTTTTCTGTTTGCCAAAGATTTATTGCTTAATTGAAGCAGAGTTAGTTGCTATGGTAATTTTTTGCCCCAAAGTGAGGTAGGATCATTCGCACCATCATAATCTCTATCCTCCTCTCAGTCTGAAGTATTTATTAAGCTCCCCCTGTTTACATGATATATTGTGATCTACAAAGCTGTGAGTTTCATGGGGATTAACTGATGGAAACTTCTCAATTTATAGGTGAGGAAACCGTGACCCAAACTCTGCTTTTGCAAACTCTGCTTTTAAGATAAAATTTAAGAAAACAAATAAACACAATGAATATACTTAGATTTCTTCCCTTATTTTCAATCAAAGATATGAGTACATTTAACGAGATGATAAATTAAACAGGAGTAAATGAAGTGATGGCCTGTGAGGTAATGGCCAATATGTTAGAAATTAAGAGTGTCGGGAAGTGAATGGATGGAAATCAGGAAACAAAAGTTGAAAACTGAGGAAATATATAAAAAGATTAAAGGATATAATACTTTTATCCATTTTAGGTGTTCTTCCTTTTTCTATTTCTGTGAATTTCCATACCAAAAAGCTAAGGGATTCACACACACACCCCCCACAGATACACCTCATGATAGAGCTCACACCTTTTAATTCCCAATATGTAGTCAATTTTCCTGAATTTCAACTCATTGCTGTAGCAGCAAGTTCTCAGTAGACTTTTTCTTTTGTAAAGTGAATCTATAGCATTTCTTTCTGATGAATTACTTTGCAGTACTAGCCTTTTAAACTGTATTTTTAATAACAAAACAGTTTACTCTTTTTATTCTGCTCATTTGTCTTGCTTATGTGGAAATAATGAGTCAACCATAAAGTGGATATTATATAATGAAATTAGCAAAGCTTCCTTTTCAAGTTTCTTGACATAGTTTCTGGTTCAGTAATAATGTTAAGAGTGACTTAATGATTTGTTTGTTTGTACTCTATCCTGACACCAAGATTTCTATCACAAATGTTTGTTTTGTAGGAATAAAAATGGCTTATGTACTCATGGATGATGAGTCCGCTAACAAATGTAAAGCATTCACCTTCATGCGCTGCTCGTGCTTCACGACGGGCGCTCAGCAGCTATAGAAGTTCCCTATACAGCTTTCTGACATTTGTAACACTCAAATATCTTACATTTATATTCTTCTGCATGATGCCACAACAGTATCATCTTGGGAGGCAAAAAGGGAGCAAACATTAGCATTCCCGTTTTCCAGATGAGGAAATTATGGATAACAAAGCTTAAGAGCCTTACCCATGGTAGTCGAATAGGGCCTTTCTAACAGGTCAACACTATAATTTATAGCCAAATTTGGACACTATTGAGAGTGACAAGGGATAATATTAGTAATTACACTGGGACAATAGGTATGAACTTGGACGGTCCCAGGGAAATTGAGACCTATTGTGACTTTTGCTAGAATCCACAACTGATTCGCACGTATTTTCATTTCTTTCTGGTTCTCAGACTTCCCCTGTGTTCTTGCGAAGTATATACAATTACATATAATAGTTATAGGAGAGGGAATGGCTGGGTTTGAATCCTGGAAACTTCACTTCTTTGCAGAGATCTTTGGCAGACGTCAAGCGCTTTAATCTCTCTGTTTCGGTCTCTTTCTCCGTGAAATGGAATGATAATAATAATACATGATAGGCAAGTTATGTGGATGGAATGAGTAAAATTCTTGGAATAATGTCTAGCACTTAGTAGGCACTATATGTGCTTGATAAATAAAAATACAGATATTGACCTTGATTACTTTTTTTTAATTAAAGATTGGTTCCTGAACTAACAGCTGTTGCCAATCTTTTTTTTTTCCTTCTCCCCAATTCCCCCAGTACATGATTATATATTTTAGTTGCCTTCTAGTTGTAGCATATGAGGCACCTCCTCAGCACGGCCTGATGAGCAGTGCCATGTCCATGCCCAGGATTCCAACAGGTGAAATCCCAGGCCCCCAAAAAGGAGCCCACGAACTTAACCACTCAGCCCCCGGGCCGGCCCCCGATAACTACTTTTTTAAGGAAAAGTTAGAAGCTGTTTAGCTAAGAACATTCTTTCTATGTCCAGAGCACGTTTTCTGAATCAATTCTTGGAAATGGTCTATTTTTTGGTGTACTTTGAATATCTATACCTGAAATTACTAATGTCTGGCTGCTATTGAGTGACATGATCTTATCGTTTTAGTGTGCAGCACTATTAACACGTCTGTGGTGAGACAGCATTAGCAGAGCTGACTCAACCTGGAGCATTTTGGATTTGTGATGAAATGAGGCTCATAATAACCTACCATTTTTTGAATCCTGCTAATAGAATTCTATTAATTCTATTCTAATAATAGACCTCCTTGTCTTTCTTTATGATAAGTAACCTGTGTTACCCTTGAGATCACTTGGTTTCTTCTTTTCAATAACTCAGGATATCTCTTTTTCCTTTGGAATAGGTAGCTTTGATTTATCCCCACACTGACTCTCCTTTTTCTTTCTTAAAATTAAAAACAAAAGACAAGCAGCATCTATGATGAGAAACACATAGATGGGTGTTTCCTGCCAGCCCCACTGGGACACCCTGGGCTTCTCTTTTGTGTTCAGGATGGGAGCCCTCATTACCTTTAGCCCTTTAGGCTTGCACCTTTTCAGTGAGGCCACCTCTGACTAAAGTTATCGCTGGTTTCATGTCCAGAACACCGAGATGTTCATTATCTGTTTTACTTGGTGCCTGAGTGATTCCAAATGTAACTCTTTCCTATGCTTCAGAGTTTGGCTTCACTCTCCGTTATTTGGCTAAAATGGTGGCATCTAGTTCGAAGTTTTTATTTGATCCCTTTTCTATCTCTTACCTTAAACTATCACCCTCCTTAATATTTCCTTGGCTCCCTCGTGATAACAATGCCACAGGTGGGGGAGGGAAAGGAGAGGAAATCTAGGGAACTAGGGAAAGTCCCAGAAGGAGCCACACAGGTATTATATATTTTTTACACTTTTTAAACAAACAAAGTAAATGTTCCAATCCTAACTGCTGTAATTCATACATATAATAAAGTTATACTGTTTGCCAATAATTTAATATTTAAACACTACTTTTAAAATTCATCATTTATTTTTATGTCTATCTCATCTGACATGTTATAATACTTGTGAAACAGATAATCTCATTGTCCTCATTTCACAGATGAGGAAACTGAAATGTGAGGAAATTCACACAAGGCATTTAAATTTAACACAGTCAATAAAAGCCAAAACTGAAACTATTAATGATAAAGAAGAAAATAAGACTCACCCATCGTCCATTTCACTACCCAAATATAACCACTGCTGACATTTTAGTGCAGTGTCTTTCTTTTGCTTTTTCTATACATTTATGGGTGTCTGTGTAAACATATTTAAATGTGTAATTTAATGTAATTAAATGCATTTCTGTATTCTGCTTTTTCATCATTATATTGTAATGTCACTTAAAAATCTTTGCAAACCGTCATTTAAAATCCATTGCATGACTATAAAATTTATTAGACCATTCTCCCATTATTGAACATTTACTTTTTTCGAATTTTTGATGATTAAAAACAATATTATGATAAATGACTTTGCATGTGAATAGTTTCCCTTTACCTAGCTATTACATTTTAATAGATAGCCAAGGTTTTTAAAGCATAGGGTGGTATCCTCACCCACTGGCCTCTCTTGTGATAAATGATTTTCATTAGTAACAGTGGCCAAGATTCGGGGTATATTTGCAGCCATCAAACAGGGCATAATCTGACCTGCACAGGGAGCAAGTTTGTGACCTTGGCCTCATCAACATTTGTGTGTTCACACAGGGTCAGACAAGCAGACTTAGAAGAAATAGGAAAGGAGAAAATTAAAAGAAGAATATCGAGTTCAAGTAGTGGAAGTTTTAAAGGTGGAAAAGAAGAGATATCTGTGTTGGGAGAAATTACAGAAGTGAGAGGAAATCTGGTTAATTAAAATGGTGCTCTGTTTAAAATTTTCATACCAGATTGGTCAAGGCATTTTTAGATAGGATTAATATATTACTTTGCAATACACAATAAAAACCTTTCACAAAGATAGTACGTTTGTGAAATAGTCATATTAGATCACTTTATTTAATTTTTTAGTTTATAATGGTGAGTTAAGTTGGCTAGCAGTGAAAGAGGAACAAATGGGCTGAGCAATACAGAGAATTTTAATAGTAGCTAATATTTTATGAACTCTATGTTTCAGGCACTCTTCTAAGTTTCCATGTGATGTCTACAATATAAATCGTGTTCTGCAGCCACCCAATCAGGTAGGGACTTTATTTTCCTCATTCCATTCACGTGGAAACTGAGCTTGAGTCAGTTGCCCAAAGTCAGGCGGGCTGACTCCAGAGTCCATTCTCTTGACTACTGTGTTATGCTGTCTCCAGGGTATAGCTGTACTCTACTGATCTGTGCTCCAAAGAGAACATACAGACACGGTCAACAGCGGGTGGAGAAGTAGGCTCCTGACCCAAGTGGTGGTTGGTGGAGGAGGTGATCTGCTTACTTTGACTTGCCATATCTCCAGTGCCTAGAATGAGTAATGAATCAATGAATGACATTTCCACCTCAATCTTATGTAAGAGATATCCAATTCGACAGACATCCATTAAGCATCTATTCTGGGTTGGGCTCTGGGAACACAAAGATGAATAAGATATAAGCCTGAATTTAAGAAGCTCATAGTCTAAAAGGAAAATGGACATGATAAATATGATTATATTACAGTGTGGTGTGACAAAGAAGGATGTATAAGACAGCAAAGAAGAGTGAAGCCTTCAGAGAGGCAGTGACATTTGCACTGGGATGAGTAAACATTGCCAGCGAGACAAGTGTGAGGGCCCACTGGCAAAGCCTCTGGCTGTGGAAGCTGGGACACCAGCTCTTGTTTATTTTTAATTTAATTTAGAGAGAGCACGTGCTGTATTTGGACTGGTCACACCTAGGTTCTAATCAGCTGTGTGATTTTTAGGCCAATTACCTAATCCCTCAGAGCTTTGGGTTCTGAATCCGGAAAAGGAGAGAAAAAAATTCTGCTCATCTCAAAGTGAAAGTTAAAGAAGATACATATAAGTTCCTAGTACAGAACCTGTCATTGTTGTTGCCTGGCAAGTTGTAATTATTGACACCCTGATTATGTAACTAAAAGAATGTAAAAAGTGTCTTAGAACAAAGACTTTCTTACCTAGGGGGTGGGGGAGGGAAAGCCTGGCAAGTTGTACCATATAAGTGAGGAATAATACAGATAAAGAACTATCCCAGAGTTCAGATTCCATTTATGACTGCTAAACTGAGCCAGCTAAGAATAAAAGGCCTTAAAAAGGCTCAGGAGGATTCTTGGGACAACAAATAACTGTTAAAACTGAATATTTTGATGTGTTAAGTGTAAATTACTCAGAAGCATATGGATTAAATTTCCTTTCAGCAATGCATGGGTTTAAATGTTAAGGGGAGAGACGTGAGAACAGGGCCCTACTGGGTCAGAAACTCTCTGATGTCTGTCCCAGGAGGGTTTTAGGCAGACTCACAGAGAAAAGGCTGAGATGTGCTCCCTGGGAAAGGTAGGGAGGAGTAAGAGCAGGGAAAGGGCATCTTACCCTCAGCCCCAACTCTGGGGATCTCCACATTCTTACGACTCAATGTGGCCTCAACGCCAAAGGTTTAAAAATATTGTGAGCCCTTTTAGAAGACAGGTAATAGTTCATCAGCCCAGAAAATGGTAAATCACTTTTTCTCCATGTGAATGATAAAATTCAAAAGAACTCTTCCTGTTAAAGGCGATAACAGCCTGGAAAACCAAACTTCTTTTGCAGCAAAAATGGGCTTGAGTAGAAATCATGGTTGAGTTCTCTCATTTTATAGTTGAGAGACTTGAGGCCCAGGGAGGTGAAATGACCTGCCTAACAGTCCCCAGTGAGTTTGTGACAGAAGCGCAGGTCGTCTAAGGAATTCTACACTCAAGGAAATTACTTGACTTGGTCAAGACCACATCCTGAGTAAAGCGGGCACTGGCGGGATTTCAGCCAATGTCTGTCTGACTCCAGAGGCCACACACTTTCTACTCCACACTCTTGCTTTAGAGTTAATTAGGCATTCTTGTTACAAAGGTAGCATACGTTCATGTTAAATTTTGACAGTGTAGAAAGATATTAAATGAAACCCAAGAGTCCCTCTCCCTCTCAGTGATCCTATCACCCACCCTCCTCAAAAAGCCCTTTAATCCCATTACCTAGAGGTAAATACTGTGGACATTTTTTTGTATTTACTTCCAGAAATTGTGTGTGTGTGTGTGTGTGTGTGTGTGTCTATGTGTGTATTTATCTTTTTAAGAAGTTCTTATTTGGGAAAAAGCTCAAACTTACAAAAAAGTTGCAAGCATTATAGAAAGAAACTTTTACCCAGATTCACTGCTGTTGACGTTTTGCCCCATTTGCTTTATCGTTTGTTCTCTATGGCTGTCTACCTGTCTTTCCATCCATCCACACATCGATTGCTATTATTTTTGTCTGAACCAATTGAAAGTAAATTACAAACATTGTGGCCCTTTAATTTCCGTCTTAGACCATTCAGGCTGCTGTGACAGACTACCACAGACCGGGTGGCTTATAAACAGCAGAAATTTATTTCTCACGATTCTGGAAGCTGGGAAGTCCAAGATCAAGGCACCGGCAGATTCGGTGTCTGGTGAGGGCCTGCTTCCTGGTTCATAAAGGGCCCTCTCTCTTCTCAATGTGTCCTCACACGGTGGAAGGGGTGAAGGAGCTATCCGGATCTCTTCTTAAAAGGGCACTGATCCCATTCATGAGAGCTCCATCCTGAGGACCTAATCATCTCCCAAAGGCCCCACCTCAAAATACCATCACATTGGGCATCGGGATTTAACATAGGAATTTTGGGGAGACATACTCATTGTAGCAACCCCTAAATATTTCAGTGTGTATTTCCTTAGAAAGAGGATACTCATAAGCACCATACAGTCATCAACATCCATAAAACTTCAATAAATTTGTCATTGATACCATACTTTCATAAGATTGATCCAACAGTGTATTTTATAGTATTTTTTTCCCCTTCAGCATGAGGTCTAGTTTAGGATCTGTATTACACTTCATTGTTACATCTCATTAGTCCCTGTTAATCTGGAACAATTCTTAAGGTATTCTTTATTATTGGTAACATTGACATTTTTGAAGAATTTAGTAGAGTATTTCTCACTTTGGGTTTGTCTGATGTCTCTTCATGATTGGCTACTGGCTATATATTCTTGGGTGGAACACTACATAGTGATGTTGTGTTCTTCTCGGCTATCACAACCAGAGGCACACGTTTGTAACACTAATTTTGAACACCTAGTCAAGTTGTTCTTCATAGATATCCTTTTTATTTGTGCCCTATTTGCAATGTACAGCATAGTTATTTCAGTTCAACAATATTTATTGAGTAAATATGTGCCAAACACTGTTCTAGATTCTGGTGGTACAGCAGTAATCAAGACAAGTAAAATTCCTGCTCTCATAGAGCGTATATTCTACCTTGGATGTGTAGTTTATGTTCCCACATGTAGAACTATTTCATTTTTTAAAAAACTGGATACTACTATTCTACTTCGTTGCATTTATGTACCATCCTTTGTTCAACCAGTCACTACTGGTGACTTTTAGCTTGTTTCCACTTTTTTTTTTTGACTGTTACCAAGCATGCTGCAATAAGCACCCTGCAATGTAGTATATTCATCCAGATGTGTGTGTGTGTGTGTATCTATATATATCTGGGGATGTTTGTGTGTGATTGTGTGTATTCATTTGTCTGCGTGAATGTTTGTGTGTGTGTGTGTACAAACTTGTTTATCTGTAGTATAATTCCTTAGAAGAGAAATTTATGGGTCAAACAAATTTGTTTTTTACATTCTGATAGATGCTACCATTTCTCTCTAATTTTTGTTCTCAGCAGTGTATTTTGTTCTCAGTACAGTGCTTATATCTCTGCATTCTCACCAAACTGGACACTGTCAAATGTTTTCATCTTTTCCGTACTAGCAGCCATTGTCTTGCCAGATGGTAATGGAGAGTCCAGATTTTTCCAAGTCTGGTGTGTAATATACCTGTTTGTGTTTGATGCTGCAATGCTACCAATCGTGTCCTCCAAGGGACCTACCTCTGGTGAACAGAGAGACTGATAGGAAAATTGCATAATTCTTTTTTTCCTTCCAGCTTTATTGAGATATAATTGAAAAATAAAAATTGTATGTATTTAAGATGTCCAATATAATGTTTGATAATTACATGTATGCATTGTGAAATGGTTACCACAATCAAGCTAATTAACATATCTATCATCTCACAGTTACCTCTTTTGGTGTGTGAGAACAGTTAAGATCTCTCCTAGCAAATTTCAAGTGTACGATACGATATTGTTAATGATAGTCACCATATTGTACATTAGATCTCCAAAACTTGTTCATTCTGCATATCTGAAGCTTTGCACCTTTTGACTAACATTTCCCCTTCCCCATTTCCCCCATCCCACAGCCCCTGGTAACCACCATTCTACTCTCTGTTTCTAAGAGTTTGACTTTTTAAGATTCCACATATAAGTGAAAACATGCAGTATTTATCTTTCTGTATCTGGCTTATTTCACTTAGCATGATATTCTCCAGGTTTATCCATGTTTTCGCAAACGACAGGATTCCCTCATTTTTAAGGCTGAATAATATTCTATTGTATTTATATAGACACCACATTTTCTTTATCCATTCATTCATCAACACACACTTAGGTTGTTTCCACATCTTAGCTATTGTGAATAATGCTTCAATGAACATGGGAGTTCACATATTTCTGCGAGATCCTGATTTCATTTCCTTTGGATACATACCCAGAAATGGGATTGCTGGATTGTATAGTAGTTCTATTTTTAATTTTTTTGAGGAACTTCCATACTGTTTTCCATAGAGGCTGCACCATTTTACATTCTCACCAACAGTGTACAAGGGCTCCAATTTCATTACAACCTCTCTAACACTTATCTTTTGTTTTTTGGATCATGGCCGTCCTAACAAGTGGGAGGTGATATTTCATTGTGGTTTTAATTTGCATTTCCCTGTTAATTAGTGATGTTGAGTACCTTTTCATATACCTGTATATCTTCGTTTGAGAAATGTCCCTTCAGGTCCTTTGCCCATTTTTTATATTGGTTTATTTGTTTTCTTGCTGTTGAGTTATTTGAGTTCCTCATGCATTTTGGGTATTAACTCCTTATCAGATGGTT